ATGTATTGTAAAACATGACTACAAACCACAAACAACAACAACAACAACAACGACAACAACAACACAACAACAAACGTACAAAAAAAATATCGATCTCGTAGATAACAAACAAACAACAAAAGGGACAAAAAAAATAAATGTGTCCAAACAAACTGGCAAAAAAAAAAAAAAAAATGTATGGGCCACCAGCCCAATAATTGACAATTATTGTTATTTTGTTAAGAAAAAGTCAATGATAACCCGATACATAATTGTTTGTTTATTTATACATGCATAAAAATTGTAATCTGGTATACTATTAGTGTTAATAAGTTTAATATTTATATAGTAATGATGATTATTATCATTATCATCATCATTATTATTACCATCATCATTATCTTATCATCATCATTGAAACATTATTATATTGGCCATTCTAAAATGTTATTTTTTTTCGTATGGCATCCACATATATATGATCATCATCATTAATGTGGTGATTTTGATGTTGGTGGTGGTGGTGGTAAATTTCTTCATTATTATAACATAAAAATTTTAACATAATTATTATGTATCAATCAATAAGTTAAGATGTTCATTTTCATTTTCATATCTATACCATAACAAATAATCGTCGACTGAGGAATTAATGAATGAAATGAAATGAATTCACATATTGTACATTCATGTTGATTATAGTAACATCAAACGAATTGTCATTGCATATATACTATATATGTGCGGTTGGCTGACTATAATTGACTGATGGTTGGTTGGTTGGTTGGTTGGTTGTTGTTTGAAATGGAATGAAATACAAAGTTTTTTTTTTTTTGAAAAAAAACAACAAAAACTATTTGAACAGATGTGTAACAGGATGGGTAACAGATAATCATCATCTATATCAGCTACGAATAATAAAATGTAGTTATTATTATTGAATAACTAACTAGCACTGAAATACTTGGTCCATCATCATCATCATCATCATCATTCGATTCATCGATCGAATCAACATCTTTATAAATTTAACAAAATTGACTTTTTTTTTCGCTGCTGCTGTCGAATCGAAGGTCATCATCATTTGTAATAGATTTGGTGGTGGACATACAACATATCAATCGATCAATGGAGAGAGAGAGACGAAGGAACTCTATAGGCACTCTATATGATGATTTACAATCAAATTCAATTCAATTCGATTCAATTCATCGATCAGCATTCATAGAATTTGATTGGTGCAACCAACATCATCATCATTGAAAATATAGATAAAATAAAATTTCGTGAGTTTGTCTAATGAATATGTTTTGTGTGTGTGTGTGTGTGTGTGTCTGTATACCTTTCTCCTCTTATTCTTATTTCAAGATGATGATGATGATGATGAGAAAAATGAACATTCACTTCGACCATGGTCTCTGTGTGTGTGTGTGTGTGTTAGCCATCGATGATGAATTGTCTGTTTGACTGTTGCTGCCTTCATTGTAATTGAGTTTTAAGTTTATTTAGTTTTTTTTCTACCAGAAAATAAAAATTAAAAGAAAAGAAACCGAAAAGCTAGCAAACAGAATTGTGAAAACAGGTAAAAACAGCAAAAGAAAATGATAGAGAGAGAGAGAGGCCAAATTGAAATATTTCGGGTGAAATCCGAAGAATGAATGAGATACACTTAAATCTGTGTGCGTGTGTGTGTATAGCCCTCAAACGAACAAGAACAAGAAAGTCATCATCATCATCATTGAATGTGTGATGGTCATCAACATCATCATCATCATCATCATCAGTTGTTGTTGTTATTTCAATTTTTTTTAGCTAGTCCATAATTTAATGAAAATGGCTACACACACACACACACAACACTTATGTGGTATGACATCGAAAAAAAATGTATACAGTGAAAAAACGAATAAGAAAAAAACCAAATTAGCGAGGTGTGTTTGTTTCGGTATTTTTTACGAAAATTCATCATCAATCGATCGATTCGTTATTTTCATTGAGAGTCCCTTTCCACACACACACTATAAGAATCTCCGAACAAACCGATCAACATTCTTGATGATGATTTAGATGTATGGTTTTTTTTCATTTATTTTCAAAACTTGAATGATGGTCATCATCCATTTTTGAATGTTTTCATTTTCATTTTCATCATCACCAATCACCAAACACGGTCAAATTTTTTTTTTGTTCTTAAACAAAAGCAAGATAGCTCACACACACACACACACAAAATAAAACTTTCAACAAAAAAAAAAAAAAAAAAAAAAAATTTTAGGCGTAACCTCAACAAAAAAACGAAATCGTGAACATTATATAAAATGTCTTGGCTACACCAAACTATATATATATAACATCGAGACAAACGGAAAGAAAAAAAAATTTCTTCATTTTTCTTACAGATAATTGAAATTTTGAAACAAAAATAAAGTTAGCAACAACCAAAGAAAAAAATGTTGACGAAAAGCCATGGACAAATAATAATAATGTTATCATTCTAGATGATGTTGTTTTTTCGGTTTGTGTGTGTGTGTTATGTGTGTGTAAATAGAGATCATCACTTGTTCGATGATCAGAAAATGAAAAATTTTCTTCTTTTTTCTTGAAAGAAAAAAAAACACAAAATAAAGTAAAACCTATATTCATAGATCAATTCAATCATCATTCAATTTTTTTGTTTTCATTCAAGAAATGAATTTAAACAAAAAAAAATCAAACAAACAAACAAACAGACAAAAAAACAACAAGTCCGCTATGCAGGTGTTCAAAAAAAAATCATTATTTGTATCCTATCTCTATCTCATCATCATCATCATCACTCGAAACAACAACAACAAGAAGCTTCTTCATTTCATTATTTTGGCCACACATGAATGAAAGGATAATAGATTGGATTCGAATGCTTTGTATGAAAAGAAACTTTACGAAAAAAAAACAAAAAAAAATCCTTTTTTTAAGCATCAATCCATTCAACCAATAAATGACGGCAACATCAGCAGCAGCAGCAGGAGGGATTAGATTTGAATTTAGAGATTTGTTGTTGTTGTCGTTGTTGTTGTTGTTGAATATTTTCTAATAAATGATTAAATTTGAAAAAAAATCAAAAACAACAACAATATCGTGTTTTTTTTTTTTTTTTTTTGATTTACGATTGATCACTCACTGTAAATTCACAAAAACAGACATGGTGTGAATTTGAAAAGTGAAAATATATCAAATAATTCGTTGAAGATTATGACCATTGTGGTGATGATGATGATGATGATATGAAATGACATCGAATCAAATAGAAAATAAAAATGATGACATGAAAATTAATTGCTTGCTTGATCATAAAATGAAATTGGAAAATATTTTCATTTTTTTGTTGAAAAATAATACTAATTTCACAATACATAAATTCTTTGTGAATTGAATGTATTGAAAACAAAAAATTGATGAAATTCGTGATTGATTTTTCATCTTCCTGGATTCACCATATAAAAACCTGGTTTGATAAGATGATAATATTTGTATTTTTAGCCAATCAATCATATGTATGTAGATAAAATAAGTAATGTTTATCATCATCACGTTCAAATTACGATTATAGATAGATTTGAAAACAAATTCATCACAAGATACTGAAAATTTATATCTTATGATGATGATGATGATGATGGTTTTTTTCGGGATATAGATTGATTTGGATATAACGAAAGAGTGAAAAAACAAATACACGTTTTTGTTGTTGTTGTTGTTGATGGTGGTGGTGGTGGTGGTGGTGCTTGGACCAACAAAAGCAATATTCATCCATCATGAATTTGAATCAAGAACAACAACAACAACAACAACAACAATAATAAATAAAACAAATAAGTTGATATCTGAATATCTGGATTCACGTTGATGATGATGATGATGATGACAGCATCAATAATTGTTAGTTCACGATTTTCTTTCTTTCTTCTTGCTGAGAGCTTTGTTTCAATTTCATTCAATTCAATTCACATAAATTCAACATCTCGATACAATTTCACATGGAACATGAAACATGGATATATTGAATTTGTTTATAGGATGTGCGTGTGTATGCTGTTGTTGTTGTTGTTGTTGTTTGTAGACAATAAATTGTAGTGGTTTCACATATTTCTAATTTTTTTTTCTATTTTGGATTGATGATGATTGAATGAAATGAGGAAAAATGGAAGTTATATATTTCTTCTTACAATAGATTTGTGAATAATTGATGTCTTTGATTGTTGTTGCTGATGGTGTAAATGAAATTGAAAAAAAAATTTTTTTTTTAATTTATTTCTTGTGTTTGCCATATCATTTGGCACACACACACACACACAATTATAATCTTATCATCATTTTGTTTTGTTTGGATGAAAAGTAGATACAATAGATGATAGTGTTTGTGTGGCCAAATGGCCATCGTTCGATGATTAATCTCATCATCAAAATGTGGCCATCGCGTTTTTTGTTGCTGTTGTTGTTGTTGTTGTTTTGTTGTTGCTGTTCCGGATTTTCTTGAAACACATTCTTGTTTTGTGGCTTGTTGATTTTACAATCGGTCATTTTTCATTTGTTTTTTTTTTCGTTGTGTTTTATTGTTTTTGAAATTGATGATTATTTTTTTTTGAATCTTCGAATCGATCATTGAATAATAATATGTCATTCGATAAAAAACAATTTGTCTTCTTTCAATCGGCTTGAATCGTTTCCAAAAATCTATAGATGAAAATTGTAATTAAAAAAAAATTAAATAAATGATTTATTGATGAGATATGGGAACATTTTTTTAAATTGAATTTGATTTAATCAAAAATTTTGACGAAAAATTCAAGGTTTATTTAAAAAAAATTCGAATCCTAACAAATTAAATTAATTCAGTAAATGGCGCCATCCATTGACACATCTTGAAATCATTTGTCGAACATCATGTTCATACGTTGCAATTTTTGGTTTGTATATGCCTGGTTTATACTTTCACAAATATTACATGTGATTTTTGTTCATTTTGGAATCAATCAATATTCCAAATTTTTCATTATATGGACACAAAAAGAAAATGTTTTCATTGAAAACACAATTGAATCTTGTAACAAAACAAACCTTCATACAATCGGTTCGATATGGACTTAAATATAAACGAAAAGAACCATTTCGTAAGCCAATTTGGCAGCCTATTGCTCCATCTAAATTATATCGTATTCGAAAAAAAGAAGAAATGTCTGAACAAGAAAAAAAACAACGAGAACATCTTGAATATACTTATAATGTAAATATAAAATCAATCAAACAATTTTTACATCAAGAATTCTATTTACCAATTGTCAATGCTGAACAAGGTGGATCGAATGAATTCGTTCATGAAGAAGAAGAATTGGAAAAAGCTATGATTGAAAATGATCGTGAAAATCAACGGGTAGCAGCAATGCGTGAGGAACGATTGAAATTATTTCAACAGGAATTGGATGCAAAAATGATGGCAATGAAAATTCAACAAGAAGAAGAAAAACGTCAGATTGGCGAACAATTTGATCAGATTGTTAGTCAAGAAATCGAACGATCCAAAACGTATATAACACGAGATAATATTGATGCCAAGATTGATGAAGTTCTTACACATCAAACTAATTATGATTATGCTATCGATGTGAATGGTAGAATCATCTTCGATGGATCATTACATCCATATGCATTACGACCTAAAGCTGTACCTGAAACTAGTAGCCAAACTGACGAATATCAGTCATTAGATTCGAAAAAACCTGTTTATTTGAAAGCGAAAAAACTTTTCTAAATTTTAAATCTGAAAATCTGATTATTAAATATTGTAAAAAATAGTTTTTTGTCAAGAAAAAAATTTAAACTTTTTTTTAAAAAAAACTACGTAACGTTCTTTATGAACGGTTTGATTTTCACATGGAAAACCGCGTTGATTATTTTTCAGAGTTCTATAAAATTTTTAGTTTTGATTTCTTGATGATTCTTCGTCGTTTTTATGATTGAATAAAATGACTCACAAGTTAAATTTCGTTTCCTGTGTTGCCTGGATCCGGCAAGGTGTGGCCAAAGAATTACCTAATCGATGTCAACTAACACAAGAAGAAATTCGAAGCAAAATCGAAAGCGATCGACAGAAATTTAAAGAATTAAAAAGGTATGCGTCAAAATGGTTGGTTTTAATTAATTTATTTATTCGATTTCTTTTTACAGATCCGATCCGAATAATCGTATGGAGACAGATGATCAAAATGATGACGATCAACAAATAATTGATCGCTATAATTTAGACGATTATGATGATGATGGCGATGATGATGATTTTCTCATACCAGATGATACAGCTTCTGATCCATATCTGAATCGTGATCAAAATTATTCGGATGTAAGTGTTTGTTTGTTCAAAATGAGCAATAGTTTAATAGTATTCTGTTTTCAGGACGAAGAAGAGAAAGACGATTTCCGTATCAAGCCTACGGATAATCTTTTATTAGCTGGCCATGTTGAAGAGGATAGTGTTTCACTTGAAATTAAAGTTTATAACAAAGAAGATGGTGTTTATGTGCATCACGAAATTTATCTTGCCGCTTATCCATTGTGTTTTCAATGGTTGAATTTCAAAAATGAAAATGAAAAAGGAAATTTTGTTGCCATTGGTGATATGAACAATGATATTAATATCTGGGATCTTGATATTGTTGATATTCTTGATCCGTTTGCCGTATTAAGTGGCCATAAAAAATCTGTACTCGATATATCTTGGTCAGAAAAGATTCCCAATATGTTGGCATCTGGTTCGGCCGATAAAAAATGTTTACTTTGGGATTTACAACAACAAACCGTTATTCAAACATTTGATCAATTTAAATCATCGGTTCAATCTTTATCGTTTCATCCGATTGAGACAAACATTCTATTAACTGGCGATGCTAAAGGCCATGCAAAACTTTTAAACTGTCAATCTCTATCGATAAAAGATTGGAATGTTTGCCAAGATGAAATAGAAAAAGTTATCTGGAATCCACAGCAACCGTACATGTTTTTATGTGCGACATCCGATGGTTGGCTATATGGACTTGATTCTCGAAATGATAATAGTCATGTTTTTCGTATCAAAGCTCACGATGAAATGATTTCAGGCATGGAATTTAGTTCGGCAAACAATGGCTGTTTGATGACCACATCAGCCGATCAAAACGTTAAAATATGGTCTGTATCGACGAACGAGATGAAATTGATTCAAACAATTCAACCGAATATCGGAATCATTCTATCAATGTCGGCCAATCCTGATCATTCAAATATATTTGTCATATCTGGAAATAATGTTGGTGAAAATTTCAAAATTCTTGACCTTGACACCTATCCTGGTGTTAAACGACATTTCAATCTCAACTAATTGGTTTAATACATACAACAGTCAACGATGTCTCTCTCTCTCTAAAAAAACAGAATCAACGCTAAATTCTTTTGTGCCAATATAAATGACAAAATTGTTTTATCAAAAATAACAACAGATGTCATTACATGTTCCATATTTAAATTCTTAAAGAATTCAAATGCTGACGATTAACAATTCGGCATATATAGAATTTATATAACTTGAATGAAGAATTGTGATGTATATAATATCCATAAAAAAAGTGATGTTTGTAAAATTCATTTTGTGTTGAAAATGTGTACAAATCGATCGAATTCATTTTTATTTTTGTTTTGAAATAGAAAAACATATAGTTTATTATTGCATACAGTGATTTTCTACCATGACATCATATAATAATAATAATGATCATTAAAGATACGTTATTTTTTCCATTTTTGTTTTTGTTTTTCATCATTCAATCGATTTTTCTCTCTATCTCTGTGTGCCATTTCATTCTATTTTTTTCTGCTGACTTTTTCTCAGTCTTGTATTTTTTTCTGTTGAAAATGAAAAAAAAATACCGAAAACCAGTGCTGACTGACTGACTGACTGACTTATCGCCTAGAATTTTTGGGCGATTCTTTCTTTCAATTTCTTTTCTTTTCTCGTTTCTGCAATGGCATAGCCTATGCTTTTGGTGTTTCTTTTTTTTCCATCTTTTATATGTCTGATTTGTGTTTTTTTTCTGTCTTTTTCATTCTTTCTTTCTTTCGTTCGACACTCTAATCTAAAATTTAGTGCCACTTAATAATAGGCTTTGTCATCTTTTTCAGTGTTTTTTTTCTGTTTCGGGTCTCGTTTTTTTTCACTACTAGAGAGAGAAAAAAATACTCTGAACCATCTCTTATGTATTAGACGACGACGAATTTTTTGTTTCTTTCTCTCTATGGTTTGACTTTGACTTTTCGATCATACACGAACAACAACAACAACAACAACAAAAAATTCTTTGTGAGGGGTGTATTGATCATCATCATCATCATCATGATCATCATTATTCTTTGAGTTTTAAGTTCAGCTTTTTGATTTTCTTTTTTTCTTTGGTCTATAATACATAATCGATCTAGTTGTCCTTTTTTTTTTCTTTCTTCAGAGGTTGAGAGAATCTATTTCAACATTTTTTTTTTTTTGTCGAAATGGAAATTGTTCGTCATTTTTTGTTTTGTCTTGTAACTCTTTGAAACAGTAGCTATGATGATGATGATGATGATGGTCAGAAGCAGCTGGTAATCGAAATATGTTGTATTGGCGACAACAACAACAACAACAATTGTCCAAATTTTTTTCGTTTTTCATTTGAATTTTAATTTTTCGAATGACCTCATGTGTTTTTTTTTTTGGTTGAAATATAATTCTTTCCTTTATATTTCACATTTTTTTCGTATTTGCTGCTGTTCTATGTTACATGTATGCATGTTATGTGTGTTATGTATCATCCTCATCATCATCATTGCCATCATCAAATCTATCCATTTTTTTTCCTATTTTATGGAGCACATTTCATACATTCAGATACATTCAGAGAGTTTTTTTTTTTTTTTCGTCTCACATAGTCTATCTAATATGTCCAAGTTAATTATATGTTTGGCTTCCACATATATTTATTAGTAGTAGAAGATATTATTCGTATATCTGTGTGTATGTGTGTGTTATGACATGCAAGCAGATTTTTTTTTTCAATCTCCAATTTCTTTTCCAGTATTTATTTTTTTTTCTATTTCGATTATTCCACATGGTATCTCTCTCGGTTTGTGTGTGTGTGTGTGTGTGTGTCTCTGAAGCGGATGATATGATGATGGTGATTTTGGTCGTTTTTTTTCTGCATTTCATATGTCATCATCATCATCATCATTCGTTTTTTTTTCAATGAATGAATTTTGTAGACAGATTTTTTTGTTGTTGTTGTTGTTGTTTGTTGTTGCTGTTTTACATACCGTCCATGTCCGTGTGTATGTATGATGAATATATATATATACATATGGAATGGAAAAAGGAACCAGAGGAATATTATAGATTTTTTTTTATTTTACAAAAAAAATGAAAAAAATGACATTCCATTTGTGTGTGTGTGTGTTGTCCCATGTACATCTTTGAAATGAAAATTTCAATTTGAATTTGAATTTTTGTTATTTTTTTTTTTTTTGTTTTGTATATAAACAATCAACTGATTGATTCATCCGAAAGTTGAAGCAGATTTTATTTTCTTTTACTTTTTCATAATTATTATAATCAAAGGGTTCAAATTTTTTTTTTTTTTTTAGTTTGTTGCTGAAGTTCATTGTAAGTTGACCAATAGAAAAAGGCTTCAATATAAGGTCAGCTGGCAATAGTGGTCAATCAAAATTGCCGCCATTACCATCATCATCATCATCATCAACAACAGCAGCAACAACAACAACAACAACAGTAATAGTCTGGCCATGATTACCGGTGTCGGTTCCAAACAATCATTGGATCAATCGTCTATACAACGATATCGATAATCACATGGTGTGTTTATATGTGTGTGTGTAATCATATCATTTATAAACATGCAATGAGTATGTTTATTTAGTCGGGTAATGAAAAAAATAGGTAATTTGTGCCATATTAAGAGACCAGATTGTATGGATTGGCGCGTGTTTTTTTTTCGTTGACCTTTGTCTATATTTTTTTGTAGTTGCTCATGTGTTATCATCATCATCATTAGAGGTCATAATGTATACATCGGAATAATATAAATTGCTTTAAAGTGATTGACTATTTGGAGCTATATGCTAGCTACATCGAAATCGAAACAAAAAAAAAATCAAAATCCATGGCGGCTGACAAACAGACAGCTAAATGGCGCCTTAACCTCATCATCATCATCATCATCATCATCATCATCATATATACATTAGCCAAATGGTTACCAAATTATGAATTACGAATATACAATCCATATACAAAAGCAGTGGAGAATAAATCAGAGGGAAATTTTTTTTTCTGTGGTATCCCTTGTATATTTTTTTTTTGGTAATTTTTGTTTTGTTTTTATTTTATTTTTCCTCACTCACCATACATCCATCCATCCATACGTCCATCGAATTTGACAACCAACGAAAGAAAAAAAAACGTATAATTATAATGTTTGCAACAACAACAACAAGCAGCAAACAAAAAAAAAAACTTGCTGATTTTTGAATGATGATGATGATCTGCTGCTTTTTTTTCATTTTATAACACTGTATTATTCTGTATATATTGTCGTTTGTTTGTTACAATTGATTGTATGATGAAAATTTGTTTTTTTTCCATTTTTTTTGTCTCATTTTGGATTTCATTTGGTCATTTGAATTCAATAATTTGTTTGAAATTCTTTGAAATCCTTTTGACATATTGGCCTTGATTGATTTTTTTTTTTTTTTCACAATTTTCTATCCATAAGTATGTGTGTGTGTTGGGAAGGATCTTTTTAGTCATTTATGTCCTATACAAATGATGGTTATGATGATGATGATGATGATGATGATAGGAAAAAAAACCTATAAAAGTTTGACCAATACGAGGAAGAAAAATTGTTGGAGATAGAAAAAAAAGTGACACTATTGAACGACTTATGAAGCTAGCTAGCTAGCGTACATACATGTATGAAAATTTTTGAAAAAAGAGAGGAACCTTTTTGATCAAAATCAAAAGAAAAAAGGAAGCAAGATTGATTGTCGATCTTAAAATATTGCAATATAAGTGCATGTGTGTGTGTGTGTGTGTGTGTGTGTGTGTGTGTGTGGCTTTGGTGTGGTTGAAAAAAAAAGTTTTCTTCTATTCCATATCACGAAGTGATTTCAATGTATATAATAATTCGTGTGTCCATCTTTTATATGCAATCACTATCAGGTCGGTTCATTCGTTTATTGAACCGAAATTGATGGCCCCTGTATTTCATAATTTTTTTTTTTGCCAAACTTCTTTGACATCTGTTTTATCGATGATGATGATGACCAGCCAAAGCATCTTTGTATGTGTGTGTGTGTGTGCGTTTGGCTGGCTCTATACTCTCTATATATGCATCGTGAACATAACAATGAAGATAAATTGGATTCAAAGTTCGGATCGTAATCATATCTGAAAAATGGTATCCATTTTGGTTGAGCAACACAGTGATGTAATTTTTTTTTTTCATTGGAAACTTGATTTGATCTTTATCAATCTGTTATATATTTGGTATGGAATGAAAAATTTATTTCATAATCATCGTGTAGGATGATGATGATGATGATCAATAAGTGATATTTGTTTTTCTTTAAACATCAATCAAACAGGGTTTCTCTGTTTTGTCGATTAAGCGATTTTGAATTTTTTTTTTTTTATTCATCTCATTGATTCATGGCGCCATTTTTTTTTTGTTCAACAAAGAAAAATCATAAAAGACGATGATGAAGAAAAAGAATATTAATGTTGAATTTTCGTGCCAAATCAAAATGAATATTTGTTTTTTTTTTTCTCTAATATTCTCCACCAACAACCAAACAAATTCAATTTGATGATGATGATGATTACTGTGGGTGTTAGCTGATATTATTATTTCGAGAAATTAATCATAAAATTTGTTCTCTCATTATGTCATTTTTTTCCTCAATATTCAAATGGATTTCAATTCTTATTTTGCTTGTTTGATGATCTGTTCATGAGAAAGTCTCACTTAATCCTATGATGATGATGATAATGATGATAATGATGTAATTCCATTTAAAATACATAAATATACTGGTTCCATTTTAAATGGGATATATATACATAAAAAAAGTAGTCTAGAGAGTGAAAAAAATATGGAAAAAAAATATTACAAATCCAATTATACATGCTCGTGTTGGCACGTATGCTGATTGATTGTGTCCACATTTTTTTTTTGCTATCTAGATTTTCACTAGATTCGATTAGTCGTTCGAATGAGTGATGATGGGTGATGCCCCCAATTTTTTTTTTTTTTTTTGCTGTGAATATGTTTCCGTGTGTGTGTGTGTATTGTAAAGCATGACAAAAATGACATTC